GGATCGACACAAGGATCGTCATACTTCTCCCCTTATCCCGGCCAGAAAGCTCGTAGAAATTCTTGACTCTTGTAATGGTCGCAGGCGGCCGAGCCGCGCAGCCTGTGGCCATCGCGACACAATTTCCTCAACAAACAAAGTAGTCGAGCTTACTTTATTTCTTATCAACCGTCACTCCAAATCTTCGAGTCGAAGAAAGACCAGTAGGAAATCCATTTCGAAGTTAAATCGCACGACTTGATGGCTGCGCGCGAGTCATTTTTCTTCCCACGGCGTAATCGCCAGCTTCTTATCTTTTGGTGGCGTTCTTCCCCTCTTGGAACAATACCGTGTGTATCTGATTCCCGGACGTGTGCAACCACGTGACACAGCTGCGGTGGCAGGAAAGTGAGCGAGTCGTCGCACGACGGTGGACTGCGAGTCGGTAAAAATATTTATTAGAACGACGACTGAGAGAGAGAGAGGGGAAAAAGGACACGAAAGAAGAGTCCGGCATTCTGTCGATCCTAATTTACGACCTGGATTTCACGCGTTTATGCCTTTCCGATAAGGTCGTTCACGCAGATGCTGCGCCTGCACCGATGGATATTCTTCTTCTTTCCGGTGCATCCTCCTTTTCCCGCTCTCTCTCTCTCTCCTTGATTCTCGCGTCTGATGGCTGACTATAACGAAGGGTTAGCTCCGTGGCTCGACGCTGATCTCTCTCGCAACATAAAACGAAACTCGAATTCCAAAAGTTCACCCTCGGCGCAGCCTTGATTACCGAGCATTTGCATATTTCTTTCTGGAACAATGACTTTTTTGCCCATTCATGTAGTCAATCGATTAGCACGCATTACGAAATTACGTCGACATAATCCCGAACTGAGTGTGAAGGATTTCATTTTAAAAGAAAACAACCGACCTTACATGAACATGTTTTTACGTGGAGATTAATCGAACGACGTAATTAATAATTACGTCCATTGGTGACGAATATGTCGATAAAATCGGCCGCTGCTTTTCTAGAAGCTAGAGCCCGTAATAAATTTCATTCCAATTTCCCATCGATCAGTCTGCGGCCGTGTCGTAATATTTGTTTAAGGGACAGACGACCGGAGATTCGATAAAATTGGAAATTTCGGCCTTTTTTCCGTCCGTCCAGAAGGGTGTTAAATTCCCTGTGAGATTCGATTGGTCGAATCGGTCCGTGGCGGGAGCAGATTTCCCGTCCGGAAGCGCTAGTAAGATGGGTTTGTTCATGGTTTGTCGTTGCCTTTCCTTCGTTGCCTTTCCTCGCGAGTCGTTGGTTCGCTAAAAAAAAAAAATGGCAGTCGTAATACTCGATTCAATTAGCAGGAGATTAATGCTCGGAAGGGAAGGTGAATGCTTCGTTTCGGTAGTATTCAGAAGAGTAGTAGTTACAAATCGTACAGAGTGGAGAAGAAGAAACAAAAAAGAGAAAGAGAGAGAGAGAGAGAGAGAGAGAGA